CCATTGGAGGGTCTGGCCCTCTGGTCAGTGTGAGTGTTTCCGGAGGTGGTGGGAGAGGAGGTTGGGGCAGGAGGGAGCCTACGGCCACAGGAAGTCCACACCAAGTCTGCCTTAGTCTGGCTCAGGATACGGCTTTCCCAGCTCCCTCTTCTCAGGGTCTCAGCTCTGGCCCTCAGGGCAGCAGGCAGGGCCCCCCCACCCTACGCAGGCCTCTCTTCCTTCTGTAGCACTCCTCCTCAGGACTCCCCCCACCACTGCTTCACCCTAATCCAGCCAATGAAGAAAAGAAAACACAAGGCAAATAATCAGGACTTGGGGGAGGAGAACCTGAGCCGGCTCTGAGCAGACAAGGCACCCTGTGCACGTCCCCAGGTAGAACCCACAGGTGACTGCATCTGCTGTGGGACTGAATGACAGAGCCAGAGGGGTCAAAGGTGACACCAGCATCTCCAGCACAACCTTCAAGGGCTTCAGGGGGATTATTCGCACTGTGGGAGTGGATGACAGACTCTCCTTGGAAGTGGACAGTGGGGTCCTCTCCATTCAGGACAGCAAGGAGAGAAAGGCCTGGGTGAGGCCCTGCGGTAGGGAGGCCAACACTCGAGGGTACAGGGTACCAGAAACGGGGGTGATCACGGGTGCTTACCAGAAGCTGGGAGAGACCTGGAATGCATCCCGCGACGGGGGGGGTCTGCAATGGGGGAGGCAGCAGGGGACCTCCCCTCGCAGATGGGGCTTTCCCCTAGGGCGTCTCGCCGGGGTCCCCCCACTCCCCTCACAACCACGCGCGGGGCCGAGCAGGGCGCGGTCGTCGCGGCCCCTCCGCGCCGCTCGCGCTCCCGAGCCGCCAGGGGGCAGCGCGGCGCGCGGGGCTGGGTGCGGGCGCAGTGGAGCCTCGCGGTCGCCCGCTCTACCCGCCGGAGGACCAGACCCCTCGGGCTCCGATCCGGCAGGTCCGGGGCGCGCCCGGGAATCTGTGTGCTTCCCAGGGCCCCGGGCGGCGGGGGCGCCGCGGCTTCCAGAGCCTGGGCTCCGGTTCCTATTCCCCAAGACCAGCCCCGCAGGACCCGGCCCCAGGTGCGCCCGCCCGCCCCGCCGGCTGTCCCGGCGCCAGGCTGGGGTGGGGTGGGGGAAGGGGGCTGGGCACGACCCATCTTTGTCCTCCCTTTCTTTCCGCCGCGCAGGCCGGCCCGCCAGTGTCTTCCCAGCCCGCGTCCCGGGCGGGGGGCGGCGGGAGACGCCGGTGCGGGGTGCGCGGCGGAGGCGGCCCTGCGTGCAGCACGCCGCGTCTGGGGCGCGCCCGCTGCTATCCAGCTTCCCGGGCTCGTCGGCGGGCGCGGTGTGCGGCGCGGCGCGGCGCGGGCTCACAAAGAGCTGCGGCGGCGGCCTCGCGGACCGAGCGGGCTCTGGCGGGGGCAGCCGCGCAGCCCCGCGCCCGGGCCAGGTAAGCGGGAGCCTGGCCGCAGCCTCGGGGCGCGGGCCGGCGAGGGGGCAGGGGCGAGGGGAGCGGATGCTACGGCTGGAGTGCCGCCCCCCAGACGCAGCGGGGCGGGCGGGCGCCTTTGGGGGTTGGGGGTGCGGACTGGCACCCCCCTGGACCCGCGGGGCCGAGCCCATGGCTCGCGCATCCTAGGCGGGGGACTCCGCCGCGGCGAGAGCGACCCCGCGCGGACAAGGGGCGCCGGCCAGCGGGGGCTGCCCTCTCGGGTTTCGCGGGCCTGACCCGGTTCCCGGTGCGATCCGTGTCCCCGCTGGGCGCTGGCACAAAGTCTCCGTGCTGGGAGGCAACTCTCGAGTTTGGGGGCGCTTTGGGGTTCCCTGCCTCCCAGAAAGCCGAGCCTCAATCTTCGTCCCTCTCCCCCTTTTCCCCTTCTAATGAGGCCCAGAGGGAGAAACTCAATTAAAAATTCCACACTCGGGTCCCTTGGGCCGCCGGCGGCGGGGCTGGGGGCGCGGCGCAGACCTGCCTCACCCGCCAGCCCTGTGCCCGCGGCGGGCATAGCGGGGCAAGGCTGCTAACAGTAGATTGGGCCACAGATGGTCCAGGCGAACAGTGAGCCACCGCGCCCCTCGAGCTGGGCTTTGGGGCGGGCGGTGGGCCTGTGTGCCGAGGCTGGGGTCCACCTTGCCCTGGGCCCAGGGCGCCCAAGGTGGTGCGCCCTGCCACAGCCTCAGTGAGCAAGGAAGCTGAGGTGACCCCTGCTAGTTGTAACTTAGTATTTACTTGCAGAAGGAAGACTTCATTTTGTCAGACCCGTTCAGATGGGGCCTTTCCGGAGCCAGACTCGAGTCTGTGGTTGAGCGAGCTCACAAGTGGCCATGCAGCTGGCGAAAGTGCCCCATACGCTGCATCTCATTCCAGCACGTGGCCTGTGGGATGACTGTCCCTGGCCTCTTCAGCCTCTGTCCCTTTCCGGGAATTTTCTTTCTCTCTTTGAGAAAGAACAGTAGTCTTAGAAATAATGACCTGAAAGCTTTGAGGGTGCAAACAAGCCAACTTTCCCTGAGGTCCACAGTGGAGGTGCACATCCGGTGCCCAGAGCCTGTGGGTGGTGGGTTGCTCAGGCCTCTGGGTTAGTGGTCCCTCTGGTGAGGCAAGGCAGGCGGGGGTTCTCCTCTCTTGGGCAGGGACCGCCATGCAGGGGACACAGTCTGGTTTCCTAGTCCAGAGCTGCTGGGACACCTTGCCCTGTGCCCTCCTCATTCCTGGGTGGCCGTTTGTGCTGCTTCCATCTGTAGCCTGGATTGGAGAGCGTCGTCTGGGCAGAGGACAGCGCAGACACGGAGCCTGCTGGGCCTCTGGGCAGTGTCCAGGGCTGCGTGGATGAGTTGGAGCTTGCTGGTGGTCAGCTTGCTGAGCTGGCGGCCTCCCCTGTGGATACCACCGGCATGGGAGGGGTCTCCGGAACTGGGCCGGGTCTGGGTAATGGCACTCACGATGGTGCATCTCAAGTCTTCTGTCTCTCCAGACCTCTGGTCATTTTCAGGAGCATGAGCAGGTCAAGCCCCTTCCTCACTGCCTGCCTTTCCGTTTCCAGGGTACCTGGCGTCTGTGCCCGGAGAAGGCTGAAGCGGCTGGGTGTCTGTGTGTGAGCGAGCGTGTCAGTGAGCCAGTGAGCCTGAGAGCCTGAGAGGCGGGGTGGGCCCTGGCCGGAGGGCTGAGGAGGTGATGGGCAGCGTCTTACTCGCTTCCACCTTGCTTGCTTTCTTAGGCACCCCAGGCCCATGTTGTGGCTTCTTAACGTGTTTTCCATAACTGTCCCTTGAGTACTTCTAACCCCTTTAAAAACAAAATATATATATATACATAAAGTATATATATATTACTTTCACAGGAATAATTGGTGGGGATGGGTTGTGAAATGGAGGCACATAAATAATCCAATTTGCCAACTGAGCTAAGAAATGCTAGTTAAAAATAAAAGATAATTGTAAAAGACACCAGTCACACCCCTGGAAGCTGAGAGGGAGCGTTAAAACACCTTGATTTTTCCTAGACACAACTGAGGAATTCAGAGGAAAAACATGCCCAATGGAGAGGTTGGTGTCAGGCTGGGCTCTGTTTGGACTGGGCGGCCATGAGGCCTGTATGGGAGGACAGTGGGGGCAGAGCCTGGATGCACAGCCCCTTGCCTCCCCCCACCCCCTGCAGGTCTTAGCCCCTCCCTCCCCTGTGCTCCTTTCTGTCCTTGGTCCTGCACACCTGATCTGATCCCTCTAAGGTGAGGGCCTCTGGTGATACGCGGTCTGAAGACTTGGAGAAACCTTGGTTGTCAGGGGGAGTCTGAGAGGGTACGGGCAGGTGGGCACCGAGGCCCTGAACACATCACCTGCTGGCCTCAAGGGCCTTCTGGAACAAGGGGCAGAAGCCAGCATACCTTAAAGCCTGGCCTTAGCAGCGGTTCTCAACCTGTGGGTCGCGACCCATTTGGGGGTCGAACGACCCTTCCACAGGGGTCGCCTAAGACCATCGGAAAACAAAAAGATATTTACATTACGATTCATAACAGTAGCAAAATTACAGTTATAGAGTAGCAACGAAAATAATTTTATGGTTGGGGGTCACCACAACATGAGGAACTGTATTAAGGGGTCGCGGCATTAGGAAGGTTGAGAACCGCTGCCTTAGAGAAATGGAGAGAGAAGGAGAATGCCTTGCTGGGTGGCTGTGAGAAGTGGGGTCGTGTGGGCACCATTGGGGGTGATGCAGGCGTTGACTGGCAGGCAGCTTGATCCCTGACATGATTGCTCACCAGGAGGTGGCCCAGGTGCCTGGCCGGTGGTCGGTGTGTGCCCATGGGGAGGATTTCTGGCTCATCCCCTGTCCCCAGGCCCCCGCCCACCACCTGGGTCGGGTCCAGCTGGTGTCTCAGAGCAGCCTGCTGGCACGGGCTGAGTCAGCTGTCGTGGGCGCCGTTTTTTCTCGTCTCTCCTGCAGCCGTTAGTCCTTCACTCTCTCCCTGTCCTCTGTCGGATGCATGGGGGAGCCTAGGGAGGACAGCGACCTCAAGGTCACCTAGCCAAGCTCTCCGTGGGGCTTGGGATTCCCACATCTGCCTGGGAGCCTTACGTATTGGTGGGGTGCTGTTGCTGTGTGAATTAGGGTTTCTGTGCTGGCTGTGGGGTTTCCCAGGTTGGGCCCACGCCAGGTCTGGTGTCCCTTGCGCAAGCCCTCACGGCCCCTCAGTGCCCACTCCACACCCACGTTCCTCAGCCTGATTCTCTCAAGTTCCCTCTCTTGCTCCCAACATAACCCCTGCAAGCTGTCCACGCCCCAGGCAGGCTTGCCCTGGTTTGTCCCCACACTGTCCCAACCTGCCACCTTGGCCCGGGGCCCTCATGTCCATCCTTTATGATCCCAACTGAATGTGGGCTCTTTCCCTTTCATCCCCAGGTCCTCACATGTGCCGTGTTCACGCCGGCCATTCCGCTCCCTTGTGTGGGCTTGGTCCACATGCCCACCTGGCTCTCTGTTTATAGTCCAGCTCCCTGCCCAGCCGATGTAAATCAGCGTCACTTCCCCTTTTCCTATTGACCCTGCTTTGTGTTTCTTTTTAATTTATGTACTTGTTTATTTATTGCCTATCTCTTACTGCTCCAACGTAAAGACTTTGTTCACCTCTATCCCTGGCAGCCGGAACAGTGCCTGGTGCCTCATAGACCCTCAGTGCTACTTGTAGGGCGAATGAATGAATGAATGAATGAATGAATGAATGAGTGAAACCCCAGGAGCACGATCCTTCCTTTCAGCAGGAGCCCAGCTCCCCCTCCTCCTTTCCCAGAGACCCAGGGCTGGAACTGGGCTGTACTCACATTTGGACTCCGTCCTGGAACCTCGCATAGAGCCATGTGCTCAGTGGGCGGGCAGGAAAGAGCTGGGGAAATGTATGTTTAGGTCATTTGTCACATGGATCAGAAGGTGACGTGGTTGGGAAGGGAGTCGGTCCCAAAGAGTGCGCATCCTGATTCTCCACAGAAGTTCCCTTTTGGGGTTTTCGGGCGTTTGGACGGTGTCCACTCAGGCTGTGCCCGCTGCCAGAGCCAGCTTCCCGGTTTCCCTGCAGGCACCTGGGGTGTGGATGCGCTGGGAGCGAGGCGCCCTCTTGTCCAGGTTCCCATCCTCCTCCATCTGGATGTTTCTAAACTCGTCTCGTACCGTCTGTCGGACCCGGCATCGCGAGGCTCCCAGCTGCTCTGCCTGTGCCTGTTCGCCAGCCTTCCCTTCCCGGACTCTTTCCCCTACCGCCCTCTCCTTCCTGTGCTCTGGCCTTGCCGGGAAGATGGGAAGATGGGAAGATGGGAAGACGCAGTGGTTTTATGAGGCGGGAGAGGGAAAGGGGTTTGGAGTAAGGAGACCTCAGCTTGAACCTGGCTTTGCCACTCATTCTGGTCCTTTGGGCGAGTCACCAGCCTTGGAAGTCTTTCTCAGCGTCTGTCACCGCACGTTATACCTCCTGCCACGGTTGTTTTGGGAACACGAATGAGATGCAGTGTTCAATGGGTGTGAGATATCTTTATGATGGCGGGGCTGGGGTGTTCTCTGCGGGGGCCTGTGTGACAGGAATTCCCCTGCCCCACTGGGAGTTCCAAGGGTCAGGTTTGGTACTTTCAGCCACACCCAGTAAGAGACTGTTGTGTAAGCACTTCATAAACTCAAAACCCTGTCCTAACGTGAGGCGCTATTATTTTGTGTTTGAAGGATGGAAATTAAGAAAGAAAAACCTTGTAGTTGAGATTCCTGCATCTACTGGCCGTGAAAATATTTGCATCTTGTTGTTTTCTGAAAATTGAAGCACCCCAGCATTCAAAGAAGGTTTTTTTTCTTCTATTCTTTTTTTTATTTTTTATTTTATTGGGGAACAGTGTGTTTTTCCAGGACCCATCAGCTCCAAGTCAAGTAGTTGTTTCAATCTAGTTGTGGAGGGTGCAGTTCAGTGGTCCATG